CCCCAAAACCCCAAAACCCCAAAACCCCAAAACCCCGGTAGACATAAGTTCTAATGATATTGAGAAAGAGGGATAAAGATAAATAGAATATTATCTCTGCAAAGAATATACAGTCTTTAAAAGTACTACCGCATTAGACTACTTGTCCCATTGCTGCCTTGGCTCAGATGATTTTCTTGTATCTGAAGAAGTTTTTAAGGTAGGTGATTTGCAAGTAGGTGGAGATTCCCATGACTAAGATTGAGATTATGCCGAAGATGAGCACACGAGACTTGATTTTCTGGTTCTGCTCCTTCAAATTCTCCTCGTTCATAACTAGGTAGCTGAGTTCTTGTCTGAGTTGCTTGACCATGTCCTGCACTTTTTATGCCTGCACCTCAATTGGTTTCAAATGCTTCTTGGTAATGATGTTGCTATAGTCTTTTGCCTCGACTCCAGTCTGGATCATGAACTCGAACTCGATGTCTCTTGCCTCCTTGTTAGTGATGCACAGCTGATGACTGCCACCAGTGAAAGAGGTGAACTGATATCTTAACTTTTTCTGCCCATCCTACTCACAAAACACATTATACACTCTAAATGAAATTTACCAAAATATCAAGTTGCTTGCCCTTGGGGTCTGATACTGTCAATGCTAGTTGTGTGCTGTCTGATCCGACTTCAACCACAGCTATATATCATTATTAACAATAAATTCTTGTAAATAAGCACAGTAATTCTCAAGGAATATACAAGAATTAAAGCATATTATGCAATCAATGACATCATAATTTGATGTCTGTATCATAATATGATTTTGAATCGTGTTTTTATCTTGGGAGGAATTCAATTTGAGGAGTGGGAGACTTACCTTGGATGTTTTCTGCTATGTTTTATTAGAAACAGACGTTTTAAGAGGCTGGCAAGTTGTAGGAGAATTTCATCTCCTCGGCTAAAGTAGATACGCAGAAACATGCTACTATCAAAAGTAGACTCTAGTGCTTTCTATTTGTTTTCATATTTATTTAATTATTAAATTGTATTAAATGATTTTATTAATCTGTTTTAAATCTTTTGGCATTATTATGATTTGCGGGGTTTTGGGGTTTTGGGGTTTTGGGGTTTTGGGGTTTTGGGGTTTTGGGGTTTT